AGGATGGCAAAGAGGAGCCTGACATTTATGGAGCAATCATCCCCCATGTGAGATACACTGCCTGGCTCCCACCGGTGCTGCCCTGGCCTGGGGACATTCAGGCCTGGGAGGGAAATGGAGTGGGAGGGATGAGGGGCAGTGCTGGGATGTCTTAGAGCTGCCCCCCCACAAAGGCAGCACCAAAACAGCCCAGTCCCATCTCTGCACTGCTCTGCCGCAGGGTCTCCGAGGTCCCCCTGGGAACCCTGGCCCCCCCGGGCCCCCTGGCCCCCCCGGAGCACCAGGTTTCCTCTACTTCAATGTAAGGGCCAGCACGGGCTGTGCACACGCCTGTGCCAGAGCAGACACACGCATGTGAGCGTGCACAGACCAGGGGCTCCCCACAAACCTGCTTGTCTTTGCTTCCAGAGGGTTCACCCGCTCCATGCCCAGCCGCCCTGCAGGCAGCCGGTAAGACACAGCCAGGCTGTCCCCAAGAGGGACACTGTTCCCTCTCCGTGTGTTGGGAAGGGTGTTCCTGTGCCTGGTGGCAGTAACGGGCCCCGTTGGCCTTCACAGGCAGCTTCTGAGGCAGGCTGGGCAGCAGGTAAGGGCACTTCTCCAGGTGTTTTGGGGGCTCCAGCCTCCTTGAAAACAACATTTGGGAAGTCTTGCCTCCATTCTGGGGTTCTGGGGCAGTGCCATCCTGCACCAGTCCCTGCCGGGGCAACTGGCTCTCCCACCCCACTCCCCTGACACCATGTCCCTGTAGGGCTGGGTCCTGTGCCAGGTGCCTTTGTGACCCCCTGTGCCAGGTACCTCATGACCCCCTTCTCTGTGCTCTCCAGATGCTGACATCCCTCGGATGGAGCCCCTGGACTCCCACACGGATCCTCAGGTGTGTCCTGGCTGGTGCTGCTGGTGAGCCCCCTAGGCTGTCCAGCTGCCCCACATGGGGGCCCTGAACCTCTCCATCCCCCAGCGCCAGACCTGGGTGTTCAGGTCCAAGGAGCTGATGCTGAAGTCGGGCAGCTCAGTGCCCGAGGGGAGCCTGGTCTACGTGCGGGAGGGGAGCAGCGCCTTCCTCCGGACCCCCACCGGCTGGAGCCGCCTCCTGGTACCGTGCACCATGGACACCCCTTGGGGCCCCGCACTGGGAGGGGGTCCAGGCTCCAGCCCTGGAAGCCAGCACTGGGCTGGATTTGGCACTGGGGCAGCAGAGACCCAGGAAGGAGCCAGCTCCCCCTAACTTGTCTCTCTCTGCTCCTTGTCTTGAGCAGCTGGAGGATTCAGAGTCACTCTTTGCTGGTGATGACCCCTCTGCCTCCACCTCACAGTACCAGGTGAGGTGTGTGGGCAGCCCTGGCTCTGCTCACATCCCAGCAAGGGGACACAGTCCTCTTTTGCCTGCCAGGGGGGGAACAAGTCCCCATGGGACTATCCTGTCTTCTCTTCATTCAGGAGGTGAAGCAGGTGCAGACCAGAGGTCCCGACACCAGAACACCCGCACCGGCCCCGATGGACTCACTGGTGAGCCCTGCTGCCAGTCTGGCCATGCTGGGAGGGACGTCCCAGGGAAACGGGCTGTCAGCAAGGCAGTGCCAGCCCAGCACACACAGAGCCTGGGGTCCTGTTGGTACAGGGGGGTGCACCTATCAGCACCCGTGGCACCTATCAGGCAGGGATGGGTGTCCCTGAGCTGAGCTAAGCTAACCCACCCTATTCCAGATCCAGAAGGAGGAGGGACAAGGGCTGCCCCAGATCCTGCCAACCACCATTGCCCCACGGATCCCATCTGTAAGCAATGACCAGCCCCATGGGATGGGAGCTCAGTGACCCAGCCATGGGAGATGGGGAGGAGGTGCTTGGGGGACCCCTCCATGCACAGCTGGCACTGCCAGAGGCTTGCCCAAGCCCTCCACTGCCCTGCCTCCCCTTCCAGCTCCGCCTGGTAGCCCTGAACGTGCCCCTCACCGGTGACATGAGCGGGATCCGGGGTGCCGACCTGCAGTGCCACCGGCAGTCCCAGGAGGAACAGCCGGCCATTCCTGTCAGCCTCCACCCAGGACCTGGTCTCCATCGTCAAGAGGACAGACAGAACCCTCCCCATTGTCAACCTGAAGGCAGGTACCCCCGTCCCCTGTGGGGGCTGCTGGTGGCAAAGCCCACTGAGCCTTGCTGGGGGCAGCACTGCCCAGCCCTGCACTGGGGCTGCCACACCCTGGCTGTGCTAAGCACTTGTGTTTGGAGGGGCTGGGGGGATCCCAGATCGAGTTATTGCCCACACGTGGTCAGGACAAGGGCACCACCCTGACCCCTGGCCCCTGGCCCTGGCTCAGCACCTGTCCTTGTCCCCGCAGGGCCAGCTGCTGGCCAAGTCCTGGAGCTCCCTCCTGGAGGGCCAGGCTGGTGCCACCCCACGGGGCCCCATCTACTCCTTCAATGGGCGCAATGTCCTGACAGATCCCCTCTGGTGAGTCTGGCCATGGGGCATGTGCTGGCAAGATGTCCCCAAATGAATGCACCCGTGCTGGGAACTGGGCTGGGGGTCTGCAGTGGGACCCTCCTGCCTTTGGCT